AATGCTAGTAGGAGTGTAAACAGGTAAAGAAAGCCACCTTGAATGTCAGTGAGGAGGTTTGAGGCTCTTAAAAAATAAACAGGATTACCACAACACCCACCTGTAGATATATATCAAAAGGGCTTTAAGTCAACAGAATACAGAGATGGTAACACATCCATGTTTATTGCCTCATGATTGACAATAAACTTTTTAGGATATGGAACCAACCTATACATCTATCATTATTTGAACAGATAAAATGTGGTATATGTACACAATAAAATTTTATATAGCGATAAAGAGAAATGAAATTGTGAGATTTTCAAGTAAATGGGTGAAAGTTCATGTGAAGTGATATAAGACAGAACAAAAAATATGACATATTTTTTCTCATATGTTGACTCTTGATTTAAGTGGGCACTGTGAAAGGGAGGAAGAGATTTCTATGGGAGCCGGAAGATGAACTAATGGGATATGTGTGACAAGAAAGCAGGAGGAGCCAACTTAGGAGGAATAAGGAGAGCAAAGGGAGAGAAAGAAAGATGGGAGGGAGCAGTGGGGATGAAGAATGAGTTAAAAAGTAAGTGGGGAGAGAGAGAGAGAGAGAGAGAGAGAGAGAGAGAGAGAGAGAGTGAAAACACTAAATTAAAACAATTACTTCATGTGAATTAAAAAAATAAAAAATAGAAATAAAAAAGTATTAAAATATAAAGTTAACATATAAAATTAATAGCTTTGATAGTCACAAAAAGTAGCCACATGATTAATATTATACAAAATTCCATCTATAATAGTAACAAAGCACTACAAATCCTTAGGAATAAATGTAACAAAGACATGTTAAAAAAAAAAACTTTAAAAGACCACTGCAGCACACAAAACTAGATTTGAAAAAAAAAAAAACATTCCTTTTCTTAGATGTGACAAATCAGTATTATAATGCCATAACAATAAAAGCATCAACATAATTGCTTTCATGGAATGTGGTCAGTTGATGCTAAAACCAAGCATGAAAGAAAAATCATCAATATGCACAAAAACCTACGAAGGTGAACTGCCCTACATGACATTAAATAATAAAATAAAGTCTCTATAAAACCAAGCATTACTGTCCCAAGAACAGATATACAATGAACGGGAAAATTCCTGAACTCTGTCTAAATGTATATGCAAATAAGGTTGGTACATTGTATCAACAGCAATACAAGCCTGAACCATTGAATAAATGTTGTTGACCCAATGAGACAGCTACTTCCAAAACAATAATGAAGTCAGATTTATACAGCCCATCATATATAAAAATAAACCTTTACTTTTTTTCATTTCACATCCCTAGTTCTACACACACTCACAAACACACACACACACACACACACACACACACACACACACACACACACACACACACACGGTTTTTCCAGAGTTTTTTTGTGTACCTTCCTGGCTGTCCTGTAACTCTCTTTTCTCTGTTTACCATGATGACCTTGAACTCACAGAGATGCACCTGATTAAAGGCATGTGCCACCACCACCAGGCTAACATCCTAGTTCTTTAGGCCTTTGCACTTGGGAACATGGAAAAGGTTTTTCCTCAGTCATCAACAAACCAAATATAAAGGAAAACAAACTCTAAGTCCCCACAGTACTAGGAGGAAGAAGTATGTGAATTCCTCTGTCAACTCATTGTAATGGGGATGCTTTCCAATGCTTTCGTAAAATTCACTGAAAATAAAAAAAAGATTGATGAATTTAATTCCATATATTTTCCAATTGCACATGGTAAAATATAATTGAATAATGGTCAAAATAGAAAAATATTAACAACACATAACATACTTAAAAGGCTAAAATCCCTAATGCATACAGAACTCTTCAAATTTGAGGGGAAAGGGACAGAAGACAAAGAATTCTGAAAGAAACACAGAAAAGACCCAGAGAGTTTGGGGTCAGTCATCAATGAGAGACAAAGAGAGAGAGGAGAAGGGGAGGGAGAGAAGAAAGGGAGGGAGAGAGACTGAAAACTGAAAAACATACTAAGGCGTCGGGCATTGTTATATAATAAAAGAAAGCAGATCCATTTGTTAATTGAATGTGCTGACAGACACTGATACCTACCAATACTCCATCTGAAGCAACTGATGTCTAAAAGTCTGCCTCTGAAGATTGGCCTGTCTGCTCTCTGTAGCTGAGGACATTTCTAATTTACACAGTCTGGGAATCAGGTCAATAATGATTGCTTCAGAAAACTTTAAAAAAACATTAATAACATAAAGATAAGAAAAACAGCTCAAGAATGGTTGAAAAGCATCCTGTATTTGCAGAACACTTTCCTCATTGTCCATGGACTTGGGACAGAGAAAGAAAAGTGATGATGGAGAAGGTGGATCCAGACTGTAAGGTTCTAGCCCGACAATTGACAGATGAGTGTGGGGGTCAGATGAGTCCAGGCATCTGCTACAAGTTGACTAACTCACAGATCCATATCCAGGACCCCAGCCTGGGACAGAGGAAGGAGAGCAGATGTCTGACAAGCTTATAAGAGAAAACATACAACTATCTGGATCCCATTTTACAAGCAATAAAAGACCGTGAAAGGAAATGATTTTATTATCTTTAATAATATCCAGCTTTACTCTTGTATTTCTAGGGAGAGCAATGAGATTTAGTTTACCTGTTCAAATCTTGGCATCTGCTTTTATATTTTACTATGTAAGTTCTTAATCCAAATATGCTAAATGATAATAAAATACAAGCTGATCACTTGAGACTTATAGAAAATGGTTAAAATGAGAATAAGAAAGTAGTTTCTGATCTCATTAACAATAATATATTATGCAAAGTACTAGTATACACCTAAAACTATCTGGCTTGTGCTACATTGGATAAAAGAAAGAGGAATGTAAAATAATGGGGTAATCGGAAGCATTGTGATCTTTTTTTTTCCCATTTTAATACAGACATTTTCATTTGAAATGAGCAGGAAATCCATCAAATTCAATGTAACATATCCCAGCTCAATCACCAGTTCACACAGCTGATTCTGTCTGAGACACAGCCATGGTCAGGTGTTTTCTTGAGCCTTCCAAGCCCCGTCAAAGCAAAAGTCAGCAAGCCGGCCCACGCAAGTTTCCGTGCATGCTGACCTCATCCATGTTTGCAAACACTTGGTGAAGGACATGAGGTAATACAGCTAGGCCTTGCTTTCTGGAAAACTATTCTAAAGACAGAAAATCTGACAGGCCCACTAGTTTGCCTGGTCATTGTGGTAAAACAGTCTATTTTTCTCAGTAACTGCAGACTTCAGTTCATACTTGATCCTTCTGATACAGTCGGAAGGCAATATTCTAAATGTTTTAGTTTCTTTTTTCCTAGATCACATTTTTTCTTTCCATTTATTCACATAATCATCAACTATTCACCTCTCTACAGTTCAGACATGATCTTGTAAATAATAGGACAACAATATTTCAAAATAGACTATCAGCCCAGCACACACTCAGAAGAATATACATACATACATACATACATATACATATATGTATATTAGTTTACAAGAAATGAGTAAGCAAAAATGATCACTAAACGGAGAATTTTGTCTGATATTTAGTGCCTTTCTGTATGTTTACCAGTTTACCATTTGAGTGTAAAATGTATTGTCAAAATTGGTGTGTTGAAGATTAGCCGAAGGTGAACATTAGCTCATTACGGCTCTGACCCAATCGGTGAACACAGTCATGGTCTGCTGGTATCACCTAGGTGAAAACGAGGGAGGAGTGAGGCCATGCTGCAGGCAGTGGATTACAGCCCAGAGGCTTCAGAGGCTGCCAGTGTCCAAATTCACTCACCTTCTCTCTGCTTTATGGCTACCCCACGATGAGCTTTTCCTTCTACCATGTTCTGTGTCATCACTGGCCCCAAGATAAAGCTTAGTGAAGGTGGACTGAAAGTTCTAAAACTGTGGGTACAACTAAATCCTTTCTCCTGTAACTTGTTTTAATCAGACAGTTGTCAGTTGCCAAAAATGACTGACACACCATATCTATCTTAAAGTTGCTTCTGAGGGACCTAGGTCTGATCATTTCATTAAAAACAGCAAATAACAAATATTGATATTCTGAGGAGAACTTAACCAATGTGGCAGCATTTGACATTCAGACTTGTAAAAAAGGCAAAGACTGGTAGGATCTGAGTCTACCAAGCCCAGGAAACAGACTAAGTACCATCTCTTGCCCATGTATACAACAAATCATAAAGTGTTTAAAGTAGAGAAGCATTCCTGAAAGCTAGCTGCATCTTCCTGTTGTAATTTCACCCACAAAATTCCTTCTACTGATACTCTGGTCATGTATGAACACAGCATGGATTCATTGTATGAAGGAAGCCCATTCAATGTTTTAAAAAATACTTATTTTTTACTTTATTGTATGAGAAATTTACCTATATGTATATATGTGTGTCATACCATGTGTGTGCCTCGTTCCCACAGAGGACAGAAGAGGGTATTGGATCCCCTGAAAATAGAGGGGCAGTTTTTGGCCTCCATGTGGGTGCTTAGAAGTGAACCTATGTCCTTTGCAAGAGCAGCAAGTGTTTTTAACCACTAGGCCATCTCTCCAAGTCATAAAACACTCTTTTAGAATATTAAATTTTTATTTCAATTTATGTTTTTATCTTTAAAGCTTTTCATGCAATACATTTTATCATATTCTTCCCCCTCCAACTCCTCCTACATCCTCAACACCTCCCTACCAACCAAAGTCAAAAACAAAACAAAGCAAAACAAAACAAAAACCTTTTAAAGATTTGATTTTACTAAATGTTTCTGTATCTTCAATTTGTTGATTCTACTTCTTCATCTAACCAGCAATTACAGAACCACCATGTATTTCCATAATAATAAAACACATCCTCCCTTTATCCATCCAGAGAGAAACTCATGATTAAAAACCCAAATCCAACACTGACTACTTTCTCTTGCTCCTGTTCCCCTCTGTCCTCTCCAGGCTCAGAGCTGCTTACCTGAATCACTCCTCCCAAGAAGGAAACTGCTGCTGCAACCCCGATTCTCTGTAGCTCAAAGTCGGATAAGCCCAGCACACTGAAGTTGCTCTGTGTGGTGAGGTTCCTGCTGCTTTGAGGAACTAGCCTTTCCACAGCATTGGCTGATATCAAGGATGTCAAGGCAAAGGTGCCTGAAAATGAGAATGCTATTAGAAAATATCCATACAAACATTAAAAAGTTATTGGATTCTTTCATGAATGTCGAAAAGATAACAAGAGCTATTAGAAATGTGCTCTACTCCAGTGTACCCCATTGCTCTGCCTTTTATGCCACTCCCTGAAAGAAACAGTACATCTGACTTGCTTTGATTCCCACCAAGCTATCATGTCTTTCTGAGTTACGCACTTTCCTAACTCTCTGAATAGAGACTATCTAAGATGCAGGAGTGTGGCCTAGATATACATCCAGCCCTTCACATTCCAACAGTGCCACCTGAAGTACATCACTCTGGGTCTAAATTGCCTTATCCACTGAATGATACTTGTACTCAGACATTAGGGTTTGAGGAGAATAAAATGAGAAAAGCTTAAAGACCTTGATGGATAACTATAAACCTGTTGGCTAAAACATAAGGTCCTCTGATCTACCAAAACAAGCTCCTATCTTCCAAGATGTGGCCCAAATTCCATAGTCACAACTATCTACCCAGTTATTCCTCACCAGGCTATATGATTTCTACCTGCTATGATTTCATAACTCAGTAGACTTTATTTTTATGAACAAAATGCCAGGACCCATAAAATGATTAAACCCACCATGCCCTTTGTCTACTGCTATTAGGGTCTGATGGTTATTTCCTCAGAATATTCACAGCCTTGTTTACAAGCAGGACTTGGCTCAGTATGCTCCCCTCTTCCTGACAGGAGCTCTAATGCCTTTCTTCATGGCATAGGTTGTCTGAGAATATAGCAGCATGGACGAGAAATGCCAATTCCCACAGGAAAGGGTAAAGGAACACATGCTGTGTTGTACAAGCATTCCCTCATGTCATCACTTAAAGACCTTACCTTGTTCCAGTATGTGTGTGAGCCTTTGGGAAAAGGTACTCTATGAGTTATAGACAACTTAACACAGACAAGATAAGGCCAATAGAACCTGGTCTCAGTAGAAAGCCAGCACACTGTCTTCTTTTCTTACCAGAGCAGAGAGTTTGGAGAAGAGCTGTGGTACAAACTGTGGGTTTAGGACAATGTGGGAGTGTGGATCCATATGGACTTGGACTTAAATCCCTTAACTATTTCCTTGATCTCCTTGTCTACAAAAAGAGCACATTCTTCATCCTGTGACATTTTTAAAAGGCTTAAATGTTATATAAATATATCCTAGTTAGCACCAAATGGCATGTTGTCAACACCCATTAAGTGTCAACCACTCAGCTATATCTTAGTAAGACTGAGTTAATAATGTTGTTATGGTTATACTCTATTCTCTATTCTCTGAGCAGTTATGGTATACAAATACATAGAGAAAAATCAAGTATTTGCCTCTCCATGATCTAGGTGTTCTTAATAAATCAATAGACATTGTAAAAAAAAATACTAATCTGTGATGTTGTAAGAAACTTTGTGAGTTTTTTCCTAGTTCACCTGAAATGTATATATAATACAAATTAATGTCCACTTTAAAGGATTGCGTTTAGACAAGAACATGTAAATCTCTATAAGTATACACATTGCACTGAAACATACACTTATATACAAACAGACATATGTACATGTGCACACATGAACATATATGTACTAAAATATGTATTTTTAATATATATGCCTCATAAAATAGAGATACATTTTGAGAATTAATTCATTGTGGCCAATTTCACTTTATATGCACATCACAGTACACTTACCAAAACTATATCAAATATGATACCAAGTGTGGAAAATATTATGAACCACATATTATGAACAAAAATGTGACCTGCCTTTTTGTTGCCTGAAACATGTCTTTAGGAAAAGAAGTGTGTGTGTGTGTGTGTGTGTGTGTGTGTGTGTGTGTGTGTGTGTGTGTAGA